GCTGTGAGCTAGGCTGAAGCCACGGCACTCACTCTAGCCCGGGCAACAAAGTGAGAACTCTTGTCCCTCAAAAAAAAAAAAAAAAAAAAGTTAAGCATATGCTTACTATATATAGCAATCCCACTCTTATGCATTTAACTAAGACAAATGAAAACAGATGTCCACAGAAAGACATACACAAATGTTCACAGGACTACTATTCACCATAGCCAAAAGGTAGAAACAACAGCCCAAATTTCCATCCAGTGGGTCAGTTGATAAACTGTATATTCATATAGTGGATAATTATTCAGCAACTAAAAAGGTATGTACTGATACATGCAACAACACAGATTAATCACAAAAGCATTATGCTAAGTGAAAGAAGCCAATCACAAAAGACTACATACTATATGATTCCATTTACATAAAATTCTCGGAAATAGGCAAAACTACAGTGGCAGAAAGCAGATGAGTAACTGCCAAAGAGGCAGAAGTTGGGGAAACAGGACTGACTGCCAATGGGGCCAAGAGGACTTTTAGGTGTAATGAAACTGTTCTATGTTGTGTCTTGGTCAGTGATTATACGACTCCATAAATTTGCCAAAACTCCTCAAATACAGACTTAAAATTGGTGAGTCTTATGGTATACAAATAATACTTCAATAAAACAGATTGTTTTCCTTATATGTTTTTGAATTTACACAAATTTTAAAAGTACATATTATTTTAATAATCAGAAAAGATTATACTTAAAAAAAAAACACCTATTCACTGTTAGTTTCTACAAGCAAACTGAAATTTCTTTCTCATCTATTCTAATTTGGCTCATCTGCTTCATTTTGAGTATCTTGAGTCACTCATGCCAGGATCAGCATGGGTTGCTATCTTGGTCAAAATAAGGGGTTCTCTCTGATTGTGGTGAAGGCAGCCCCTGATAGTAGAGCCTTTCAGGGACAGCTATGCTTTCCCTCATAAATCCACGACAACCACTGCTAATACCAACACATCCTAAAGCCATCTTCTCACTTTGAAAACCTAATTTTATCAGGGTCTCAACACTAGCATACTTCTACCGTTGCATGGTTATCTTCTTTTCAATTCTTGTAAAGCCAAAGCAAAAGCATCCTTCACGCACATGGGAACAGAACAGAAACATAAAGGTCCAATAAACCTTTCTTTAAAACAGCCAGAAGGAAAGAAAAATCAGCAAGAAATCTATTCCAATTACATTGGCTTCCTTGTTATTTCTCAAATATGCCTGACACACACCTACCTCAGGGCCTTTGTGCTTGCTGTTCCCCTAGGCTTTGTACACTCTTCTCCAGATATTTATTCCTCCTTGGCTCACTCTCTTAACCTCCTTCAGCTCTTTATGCGAATGTCACTTCTTTAATGAGATCTTCCCAAGCCACATTATCTAAAATTGCCACTTTCCAGCCACATTCCCTGATGCATTCTTGCTTTATTTTCTCCTTAGTATTTATTAGCATCTAACATATTATATGCTTCTTATTGGTCTTGTTTATTGCCTGTCTGTTGGGAAAATAGGCTAAGAGAAGTGAAAGGTTTCAGGAGTTTTGCAAAGCTTTGCATTGAAGGAATCTGTGGGCATGTTAGTTCATAAACTAGAAGCTGTTCCCAACAGAGGAGGCATTGTCAGAGGACGTCTGCACAGCAGCGTTTCTTTGATGCTGCCCGTCATCGCCTTGAGATTTTTTGCACAGCAAAAGCTCGGTTTGGGCCCTAGCTGAGAAGCTGATTAACATGAGTGCCCAGCAGATAATGTGCAGATGGAACTATCTTAAACTTCAAGACTATTCCTGCTGCACTCCTGACCACATGTCTCTGTGGTCAGGACTTTAGAGAAATAGATTAGATTAGCACACAGAGTCAGTATTCCTACTTTATACATTTTTATCTTTAATTTGTATGCTCAGCTAGGTATGTTTCCAACTCAGGGCTTAGTATGTTTATCTTAAAAAATTTTGTAGCCATCTATTCTTGTAGACAGAATTAGGTAAAGGTCCCTTGAAACCTTTGGGGAGCCTAGAAACCTCAACGAATGAACTATACACATAATTCTTTAACCAAGGACAACTATTTACTGTAACAATAAATACTGATATGGGATTTCACTTGGGGCCTCACAGCTCACAGGAATGCTGGAGGACCCCTGACTCCCCCATCACTTTAAACTGCACTTTGTCTCTGTTATTTATCTGTCTCTATTATTTCCAAATATCTTGCAACGATCCTGCCTGGGACCTGTTTTGCTGGGAGAGTAGCTAACTCCCACACTGTCACTTCCCACCCCACTTCAACTTGAAAACAAGTTCCATGAAGTCAGAAATGTTTAACTGTCCTGCTCACTGCTAAATCTCCAGAATTCAAAAGAGCACCAGTATAGAGTAGGTGTTCCACAGAATGTGCCTCAAATCACTACTGTGTCATGAATATCTGCTGCACACACATCATCAGAGAACTCAAAATGCACCCACTACAATCATAATCCAAACTCACACTAATCATACAGTGGTGAGTACAATTATTAAAACAAGGCATGTTGCACACTTTACAAAATGCGTTCCAAGAAGCCACTTTGGGAGGCCAAGGCAGGAAGATCACTTGAGCCCGGGAGTTCAACTCTAGCCTGAGCAACATAACAAGACCCCCATCTCTATAAAAAAATAGAAAGAAAAAAAGAAAAATTACCTGGGTGTGGTGGGGCGCACCTGTAGTCTCAACTACTTGGGAGGCTGAGGCAGGAGGATCATTTAAGCCTAAAAGTTTGAGGCAGCAGTGAGCTATGATGACACCACTGTACTCTAACCTGGGCAACAGAGCAAGACCCTATCTCAAAATGCATTCCAAGCACTGACTGGTGTTGATTTTGCATTTATTATTATCTACCTTATTAAGTCTGCATTAAATGGGAAGTACAAATGCAGGACTCTGTACCTGAACACTCATCTGGGACCTGCTGGTGTGGAAACACTTCATGTAAACAAAGCCCAAGCTTTTTTTTTTTTAATTTTTTTATTTCTTTTTTTTTTTCTATTTTTAGTTGGCCAATTAATTTTTATTTTTAATTTTTAGTAGAGACAGGGCCTCGCTCTTGCTCAGGCTGGTCTCGAACTCCTGAGCTCAAACGATCCACCCGCTTCGACCTCCCAGAGTGCTAGGACTACATGAGTGAGCCACCATGCCCGGCCCAAAGCCCAAGCTCTTAATGTGATGACAACTAACGTTTTGGAAAATTATTAGGTGAGGAAAAACTGATTACTAAAGAATAAATGCAAACATGGCATAAAGTTAATCCTAAGTTAAAACAAATATTACTAGAATCCCATATTCTGTGTTGTATTAGATGCCAGCATCAACAACTCAAGGTTTTCATGTTGCTAAATTGTCACTAAAAAAACAACACACATTGGAGCAAAACCAAGGCCATGAGTTGGTCCTGAGCATATGCACCAGGCCTCTTTAGCAATGGGTCTGCCAGTTTAGCCTTAACAAGGTATCTCACAAGATTATACCAAAGGAAGTCCATTCCCTCCCATGACCTAGACTTACAAGGAAAGCTGGGCAACAAATGAGATATAATCCCTGGCAACAAAATGAATATATAAAAAGGAGTTTTAGCAAAATAAAGCCAGTAAGGAAAGAGGAAAGCTGTCATCAATGTTTGAGAGCATGCCTTATGAGAGCACCAAATGGACTCATCTGGGTACGTGGCATCAAAATACCATCAACCTCAGGAAAATTCCATAAAAATCAAATCCCGACAACACATTTCTTATCCCTGATCATGAACGCACTCACCTCCACATCCAACAATAGGAGAGGAGTGAAACAAAAAATTTTTTTCATTCAATTGTATTAGGATACCATCAAAAGTTTGCTTATCAATTTTATATTTTTTAACAACAAGAAAACATTTATGAAATACTCTTTAAGAAGATATAAACTTGTATAACCTATATCACTAAACTATGTCTAAAGACTTGCAGTTGGTTGGGCTCAGTGGCTCACACTTGTAATTCTAGCACTCTAGGAGGCCGAGGCAAGAGGATCACTCAAGGTCAGGAGTTCCAAACCAGCCTGAGCAAGACCGAGACCCCGTCTCTACTAAAAATAGAAACAAATTAATTGGCCAACTAAAAATATATAGAAAAAAATTAGCAGCGATGGGTACGATGCTTGGCTTCAGGTACTGTGGAGGCTGATGCAGGGGAGATCGCTTGGAGAGGAGGTGAGGGCGGCTGGGAGCTAGGCTGAGCCAGGGCCCCTCGTAGCGCCGGGCAAAGAGAGATGACTCTGCTCAAAAAAAAAAAAAAAAAAAAAGACTTTCAGTGAAAAAGACTATCAAAAAGTACCAACTATGCCACTGAATTATATACTTAAAATAGTTATAATGTTAGCAGGGCATGGAGGCACATGCCTGTAGTCCAGATGATTGAGGAGGCTGAGGTGGGGAGGATCACTTGAGCCCAGGAGTTTGAGCCCATTCTGAGAAGTGATGAGGTATAGCGTAAGAGTGTAGTTATGTGTTAGTTTGAGACAGGACTCTCGGCTTGAGGCCCAGGCTAGAGGAGTGCATGGGCAGCAGCCCTAGCGTCACAGCAACCTCAAACTCCTGGGGCGCAAGCAATCCTCCCGCCGCCAGCCTCCCAAGTAGCTGGGGACTACGAGCAGCGCCACCCGGGGGGAATGCCCGGCGTAATTGTTTCTCGTATAGTAGGAATTGGCCAAGTAAGTGCGTCTAGGTTGATAGTAGAGACGGGGTGTCTTGCTCAGCTCGGTTTTGAACGCATGGACCGGCGAGACAAATCGCCCGACCTCAGCCTCACAGAGGTAAGTTGGAGCGAAGGATAGGAGAGCCTTGGTCAAAAAAAGGCAAAATTTCCTTCGCTGTTTACTTATTAAAAAAAAAAAAAAGTTGAAAATGGGAAATTTTATGTTATGTATATTTTACTACACACATACATAAAAACTGAAAAAAAGTACCAGCTACTCACAGGTGCCATGGCTGCCTGCCCCTTTCCAAGGCCCTATGGTCACTGCATAAGAAACCTTGAATGCCTTGAACTCCCCCATAGCTCATGTGTAAAAGAAACCTGATACAGGTTTTTCAAACATGACAACAATCCTAAAAATTGAAAGGACATATGGTGAGTTGTGAAGCTGAAAGAACTACATTGTCACTAATAGAAAGCAGATAGGATCAACCACCCTGGAGGAATGACAGACCCTTCTGTTCTCTCTACAGAAAGTTATAACATTGCTATCATAGAAAGATGTGGTAAAAATGCTACCCTTAATGTAGGGGAGCCAGGACTTGTGGCACATGCCTGTAGTCCCAGATACTTAGGAGTCTGAGGCAAGGGGAATGCATGAATCCAAGAGTTCCAGAACAGTATGAGAAACATAGTGAGACCTCCATCTCTTTAAAACAACAGAGAAAAATTATTATTGTTGTAGTATTTGCCTACTTTTTAAAATGTGTAACTTTTTGAGATTTTTTCTATCTAAATGAGCATTTACTTTCTCACCTAATTGTTTTCATAACTGTAAATTCTTTTGTTTAAAGATGACATTTATACAACTGTATTAACTCCCCTTGAAAAAAAAAATAAAAAAATAAAAAAAAGATGACATTTATAATTACATGTATAATTATAAATTATATATTTATATAAAGTATATGCATTTATATTATTTGGTATAAACTTCAGAAACCACAAAATTTGGATCTGCCCTGTACTAGATGGTAAGATTATTATTCTCTTTTTAATTTTCTGAATGTTTCAAACTTCTTGAAATATTCTCAAACTCTGAGCATGTTATATCTCTATAATTGAGAGAGAAAATATGTAGAGGGTGGGGAGAAATTCACTGAAACTGAAATAGGAAAATGCAAATGGCTGCCCAGCTCTTGAAGGTTTTAAATCCACCTACAAACAAACACTAATCTAGCCCACACCACATGCTTAGAGCTTCACTCCATGATGAAGACCCTGGAAGATGGACCACACATACACAAGTGAGGATAACAACCCCAACACACACTGTCCTTAGGTGTATACAAGGTGCTAGAAGGTCAGAGGAGGATGTGACCAACTCCTCAACCTTCAATGACAATGGGATAAACCATGCCAGAAATGAGAGCTCCTATTCATTGAGCACTTACTGTTTATATAGCTCCTTTATTCCACAAGAACTCTCTGGAGCAGATACTGTGATTATCGTCCTTACAGATGGGTGCCTTGAGGCCTGCCTCTTTACAGAAAAACAACATGGTACCTGATATGAAAGAATCACTGCTAGAATGTTGGAATCATAGTCCTAACCTCAGAGGTGCTGCAGCCTGGCTGGCTGGCAGGGTCACTCCCATGCCACAGCAGGAGATGGACCTGTCAAAGGAGGAAGACCAGACTGACAAAACACAAAGGCTCTCTATCAACTTGATAGACTCCTGGGCTCCAACACTAGGTGGTTCATTTTTGCCCTCAATAACATTTTATTCTAGTTTTAATAAAGAAAGAAACCACAGGTTGTAACTGGAAATGATTTCATGAAAATCATGCTATAATTCATGTAGATCCTTCCCCTAAAAGCTAAGGGGCAAATAAAACAGCAGACTCTGTTCCAAAACTCTGGATAAGCTTTTCCAAAGAAACATAGCGCGGCCTCTCAGCTGCTTTTCCTCTCTTGAACTACTAGCACTGACCACACTGCCCATCTCTTTGTCTCATGAGACCAGATTTCTGGAATGACAAACTAGAGGGTCTCAAGATCAAGGGGGACAGGGAGAAGGAGCTTTCAGCTTACCTAGAAATATGTTCATCAGAGTAACCTGCTACAGTTATACAGAATTTTAGCAATTTAAAAAAGCTTCTTCTAGCTAAAACAATTACTGATTCTAAGGTGTCAAATGTCCCCTTTATTAGAATATAAAATTTTCTTATAAATAGCTAAATGTATTCTATACACACCCCAAGAATTTTTAGTTTTCCTTAAAAACCCAGTTACTTCTCTTTTTTGTTTTTTCTTTGAGACAGGGTCTTGCTCTTCCCCCAGCTAGACTGAAGCGGCCTCATCACAACTCATGGCAACCTCAAATTCCTGGGCTCAAGTGATCCTCCTGCCTCAGCCTCCCCAGTAGCTGGGACTATAGGCACACACCACCACATCTGGCTAATTTTTCTATTTTTTGTACAGAGTCTCGCTATGCTGCTCAGGTCTTGAACTACTAGGCTCAAGTGATCCTCTGGCCTCAGCCTCCCAAAGTGCTAGGATTACAGGTGTGAACCACCACACCTGAACCAGTTACTCCTCTTTTAAGGGCAATTCTCCACCTCTAGTCTCCTCTTCCTTGGTGCAGACTTACGATTCCCACCACCCAGTAGGAAACATACATAACAGGAACACATAAAAGTGACCCTCTTAGACTATGGCCAAAATTGCTGACAGGTCTCAATCTATGAGGGATTTTGCTACCTCAAATCATGGTTCTCTCATGTGCCAATAAATAATGGCCCATTAGCTTCAGACAAGATTATATGCTCCCTGCCTGTGGGCAATGTTTAACCTATTGGGCCTGTTGCCAAACCCAAATGACACCGAAACTAATCCTCTGAAAGAAATGGTGCCAAAAAATGTTCAGTCTTCATGAACAGCCACAGAACCAACCTGCCCAGGCCAGCATCCCCAAGTGCCACACCTGCCAAAGTGTGCCCTATGCTGCACCAGGTCCTGTGGGCCCCTTGGGCCCCTAGGGGAACTGTGTTCTCTGGGTCCTCTCAACACTTCACTCAGACAAACACTCCCCTCAAGGGTCTGCAAAGTATCCTAGGTTCACAGCATCATTCTGGAAGCTTTTATCACTCAACCACTCTGCCTGAGTGCAATCAGTATTCTTCCAAGAAAAGAATGAGACACAACTGTGAGAAAATTCCTGAGACGGCACCAGTCACAACACTATGTCCTAATATAGAGCCACTTGCCAATTATCCTTCACAAGGCCCGAGATTTCTTTCCAAATTAAGGAACAGCAAAATATTTTTAAAATTTCTTTGGGGAAATCACTATCAACCACACTCATAGTTCCAAAGCAAAAGTCCCTTCAGAATCACCTGGCTTGTGAGGAGGACAGTAGCTTCAGTCAATCAAGATGGTATTTGAGATGTCTTTAAAACAGTGTTGCCAAAAAAATAAAAAAAGATGGCATTTGAGGACCAGCAGTGAAAGCCAACAGGGTACTTCCACTTTTGACATTCTAACCACTCTTATGGCTCATAACAAGGAGCTTAAGTTATTTTCAAAGTAAAATCACTCTGAGAGTAAGAAAAATCACTGGGGGCGGGGGGCCTTTCCCTTTCTCAGGTTTCACCTGCCCCAGGACTGTTGGCCACATCCATTAGTTTTTCAGCCCCAGAGTCTAAATCTGTCAGCTGCCAACTGGTATTCCTGTAAAGTCTAACCTTTCAAATGCCCCAGGATCCTGTACACTGAACTCACAGTCCTCCCCTGGCCTTTTTCAGTGTAAATGCAGCAACCTGACTACCCCATAAGGTCCTCATGCATGAGACCCTGGCAAGTTGCTGTGTATCAGTCCCATATGGCCCAGCAGATTCTACCAAGGGCAGGGGCAGCCCAAAGGTCTGGGGGAAGAGACATTTGTATCCTCACACTCAGACAGGAACGCAAAGCAAGAAACATCCCAAACCAGCTGGGCATGGGGGCTCACATCTGTACTCCCAGAGCTTTGGGAGGGTGAGGAAGGAGGATTGTTTGAACCCTGGAGTTTGAGATCAGCCTGGGCAACATAGCTAGACCCTATCTCCACAAAAAAATTTAAAAAATTAGCTGGGTGAGGTGGTACATGCCTGCAGTCCTAGCTCCTTAGTAGGCGGAGGCAAGAGGATCACCTGAGCCCAGGAGTTCAAAGCTGTAGTGAGCTATGATTGCACCACTGCACTCTAGCCTGGCTGATAGAGTAAGACCCTGTTTCAGAAAAACAAAAACAAAAACAAAAAAACCACCCCAAGCTCTTCAGTAGTGGGTCTATAACCAACTCAGCTAATCTCTCCTCCAGAGGTATTCACCTCAGAGAACAGATACTGTTCAAGGAATGATATATTTCACTGCCTTACATGTAGAATTTCTATTTATAATAGCAGAAAAATTGAAAATGTTAAATAAGAATTAACTAAATTAAGAAGACAGTAAGGCCGGGCGCGGTGGCTCACGCCTGTAATCCCAGCACTCTGGGAGGCCGAGGCAGGCGGATTGCTCGAGGTCAGGAGTTCGAGACCAGTCTAAGCAAGAGCGAGACCCCGTCTCTACTATAAATAGAAAGAAATTAATTGGCCACTAATATATAATGAAAAATTAGCTGGGCATGGTGGTGCATGCCTGTAGTTCCAGCTACTCGGGAGGCTGAGGCAGAAGGATCGCTTGAGCCCAGGAGTTTGAGGTTGCTGTGAGCTAGGCTGACGCCAAGGCACTCACTCTAGCCTGGGCAACAAAGTGGACTCATTCTTCCCAAAGAAAAAAAAAAAAAAAAAAGACAGTAATTTCAGCAATGTGCTAATAGGTGGTTTAAATAAGTTATTGGTGAATGTTTTTCCTACCAGGTTGCTCAAACTCATAAAAACATACATTCTGGTCAAGTTTACTATAGCCCATCCCTCTCTTCCTTTATTAAGTAACTCTGGGCAAATTCCCAAGGAAACAGTGACTTTGTTCAGCACTAGAGCCAAGCAGGTCTGCACACCTCCATAGAGCACCCCACAAAAGCAGATAAACTATGAACTTTGCAGAGATTTAACATCCCCAGCTCATGAGAGGAGAAGGAACCATGGCACAGCACAGTCCATAGACACCAAGTTTAAAGCACATCTAAACAAATGGGCATCAGAGTGAAAGCTCGCAAGCTTGGGCTTAGGTTAATCCTAAGACAAATGTTGCTGCAGTCTCAGCAATAACATCAAATTTGTGTAGAAATGGGATCTCAATCAGAGACTGGCACAGGCAAGTATCTGGGTGGGGACAAAGGTTACACTGAAAATGCACATCCAATGTTAGTTTTATACTTGCAAAACAAAAATAGTCTATTACTCTTTGAAACAAGCACTGAAAGGGGATGCAAGATTTTCACATTCTGCCAGACAGCTGAGACAAGCTTACACAGCCGACCGGGCACCTGCTTTTCTGAGTGTGCAGTTGTAGTTAGGAAGGCCTATTGGCTCTGAAGCAGCCCCAACTAAAAGAGGAATACAAAGATCAAGGCAAGGAGCCCTGGTGGTGGACTCTTCTGACAGGCACGGTTAAAGGCAGAATGTATTACCCAGGGAGTTTGGGCCACAGAACCCCAGGGTCAGCCCAGGCAACATGGCAGTTACCCACAAACCCAGCCTTGTGAGATCTAAGCCCAGGTATCAACTGGGCACATTCTCACAAACTAACTGCAGAAACAGCAACATTAGAGCTGGTGTTCTGGCTTCCTAGTCTCTAACACATTTTATTCCATTAAAAGAAA